GATGGATTTTTTTTTCCTTTCTTTGAGAGGTTTTTGCTATAGGGCACATGCGCTTGCCAGACAGACAGACAGAGACAGAGAGACAGAAAGTGAGAAATCACCCACCACGGGGGATGGCCACACCGCAATCTCTTTTCCTCCATTCTCCTCTCGGGATCTTGGGCATGCACACACACGTGCCTGGCGTGAGTTTTAAGCCACTGGGTCTGGAACTTGAACTGCAGTCGACTACATGGGAGTCCAGCGACATAGCCATTACGCTAACTGCTGGTCCCAAAGATGGATTTATTTGACCATACATTTTTCTTACCTTTTACATTTGGTTTGAAGTACAAGTAGTATCTACTATCAATGCTGCTGCTGATGATGATGATAACAAATGACAATGAAGAAAATTCAGTCTTGGGACCAGCAGATGGCATAATGGCTTTGCTAGACTTACATGTAGTCGACCACAGTTTGAGTCCCAGACCTGGCAATTTAAAACTCACACCAGGCACATGTGTGTGTGTGTATGCAAGATCCCAAGAGGAGAATAGAGGAGAAGGGATTGCAGTGTGGCCATCACCCCGAGGGGGGTGCTTTTTTTGTTTTCTATCTCTCTGTCTCTCTGTCTCTCCCTCTCTCTCTCTCTCTCACGAGTGCAGGTACCTTATAGCAAAAATGTCTCTTAAAATTTTTTTTTTACAAATAAAGAAAGAAAATCCAGTCCACTGATGAGCTCTTCCACTCACAAGACACGTGGTCTTGGGACAGTTGATTAACTTTTTAAACTCTGTTTGGTCAAATAATAAAATAAGAGGATAAAAATACAAAGCTCTCTGTGCAGACAGGAACAAGATGCCCAATATTCATGTATTACTGGATTTTGCTGAACTTTTCTAAAGTATGAAGGATGTTTGTGGCCATCGCTGGTACATGTGGCAGCTCAATGTTGTTATAGACACAGGCCTGTCACCCGCAGGATGCCAGGACTACAACTTGGGGACCACGTTCCCTGAAGCCAGCACTGGCTTCTTGGAGACCCGGGGACAGGTGAGGAGCGAGCCAGAATTTCGGTGGCTCCTCTCCATCTCCAGCAGGCCGTGTCCTAGTCACCGTCTCTAATTGGAACGAGGAGATGCGGTCCCCAGAGCCCAGGCTGCCTGGTCCCTGCACCCTGCACACACCTGACATTCCGAACTTTAAATTGCTTCTGGGACTAGCAGGCTCCCTGCTGGAGTAATGGGGAAGTCAGCTGCCCACGGAGTCCACCTCTGCCACTTGAGGACTCCCTTCATCTGCTGTGGAAAAACTACCTTTGGGATTTCTGGGCCTCAGACCGGAGTGCTGGGTCCTCTACATGAAGAGTCTCTGGCTGGGACCCCAGGATACAGCCTCCACAGCTGGGAGGAGGGGGGAGAATCAGCACAGAGGCGACAGTGCCCTCCAAGACTGGGTGACAAGAAGGTAGGTACACAGGTACAGCAGGGCAAGTGGGAGTGGTAGGGCTGTTTCTCTGACGTCTGGCCAGGGGCACAGTGAGGAGGTGAGAATCAGTCTGGAGCCAGGAGACTCGGAGAAGTGGCCACCAAGCAGGAAGCAGACGGGGAGAGCTGGACTGAACCAGGGACAGAGGCAGTGGCGGCAGGGGTGGCGCCCCTGTGAAGCTGGGTCAGCCCTGGAGGAGGAGCCTCTGCTCCACTCCAGGCTCTGCACTCCAGGTTCCTATGAGGTCGCCTTCCGTGATGCTGCAGAGAAAATGAAGGAGGTCAGCCCTCTCTGCAGGGCTCCCCCCTGACCCAGTCCCCTCCCTGTCCTTGCTGCTCCATCTCCACAGGGAGCCCAGCGGGAGGAGAGCAGCATTCCCACCTCCTGGTCTGCAGGTGAGGAAGGGAGGCTCAGGAAGGTGAGACTGTCTCAGATCAGAGGAGGAGCAGACGGACCAGCCGGCACCCGAGCCCTGTCTGTTATTACCATTCCGTGACTAGTTCTTTCTGTTTTTCCCACTGTCCTTTTCCAAATGCTGAGATTTTTTTAAAATCAAATACAAAGTAACTTGTGTCTACCTTATTAAGAGAAAATTGAAGCTATACTGATGAGGTATGAAGAGGATTTCTCTACCCGTATGGATCTTCATATAATTCATTTCCAGTCAGTGTGTGTATATATATGGGAGGGGGGGAGCGCGCGCGCATATAGTATTTGCCTTAGGGCACATGCGCTAGCTGGAGTGAACAAGAGAGAGGGAGACAGTAAGAAATCACCCCCCAGGGGGAATGGCCATGCCACAATCCCATCCTCTTCTCCTCCTGGGGTCTTGGGCGCACATGCACATGCAGCCAGTATGAGTTTCAAGCCACCGGGTCCACAATTCAAACCGTGGTCGGCCGTGTGGGAGTCCAGAGACGTAACCACTTCACCACCCGCTGGTCCCACATGTATTGTTACCTATCTGAGATCCTAACAGTGTATATGAGTTGTTTTCTCCACCCTCTTTTATTACAAACTTTCCTAACATTCCATTATATGAAATGGCACAATTTAGTTTAGCATGTGTTTGGTGGACAGTTTACTGGTGCCTATTTTCACGCACAAATACTGCTGTGATGAAATCCTGAATTGAGGGATACTAGCCTCCTCTCTGGATTCTTTAGAATGGTTTCTAGAGTTTAAATTGCCAAAGTGATTTCTCACTTTCTCTCTCTCTGTCTCTGTCTCCCTCTCTTTCCAGCACATGTGCCCTCTGGCAAAAACCAAATATGTGTGTGCATGTGTATATATATATATATATTGCACTTATCAAGAATATCCTTAGACATATTCTGTTGTGTTCAAATGAGCTTTCGCTCCTGTTTTTTTATAGTATCTTAAATTTCTGAAACACCAGAATACAGCCTACACAGGTGGAAAAAGGAATTGGAAGAAACACTACCACAAGCTAAAGCTTCCCCCAGGATTGGGTAAGACCCTTTCTTTATAGTCATTTGGATCTATCCCTTTTAACTTTTTTTTTTTTTTGGAAAGGTTTTTTTTCGCTATAGGGCGCGTGCACTCGCCAGACAGACAGAGAGAGAGAGACAGAGACAGAAAGCGAGAAATCACCCCCCAGGGGGGATGGTCACGCCGCAATCCTGTCTCCTCCATTCTCCTCTCGGGATCTTGAGCACGCACGCACACGCACCCGGCATGAGTTTTAAGCCACCGGGTCCGGGACGCGAATCGCGGTCGACTACGTGGGAGTCCAGCGACATAGCCATTACGCTAACTGCTGGTTCCCTCTTTTAACTTTTTTTGACACCTCACTGGCAAACCATTTTCTTTTGCCCCCATGCAAATAACCTTTTGATACCGTGACCATGGGGGAGCACTCACATAATCTGTCATGAATTAACTTTCTCTTCCTTCTTGAGTTGAAACTTTAGGTGGCATGGTGGTTAAGGGGTTGGACACTCCCACAGGGCTGACCATGGTTTGAGTCCCAGACATGGTGACTTACTTTTTCACTCCCCCCTCAGTCAAATCAAAATAAATGGATGAATAAACAAAATTAAATAATTTTTTTAAAAAAAAAGAGTTGAAACTTTAACTTCTATAATGACTTAGAAGTTTCACTTTTAGCTCCTTCTCACGTCCATGCCAAGTTTGACTTGTTTTGCCTTGCAGATTGTAGAAGTCAGGTGTAGAATCCTGCAGGCTGGCCAAGGAGCAGAGCGTAGTGGAGGGGTTCAGATGTGGAGCCTCTTATCAGCAGGTTACTGCCTGAGTCCAAGTACAGGAAGCTCCCCTTCTCCTGGCCCTGGCCTTCCTTGCCATCCAAGTTCGCCATGTCCCTCTAGATACCTGCACCACCCCGGAAGTTGGGGGTCAGGGTGAGGAGAAGACAGTGAGTGCAGTGCAGGGGCCCTGCCTCTCTGCCGCCTTGTGAGACAGAATTTTAAAACCTTCTTAGAGGGGCCAGCAAGTGGCTTGGTGGTTAAGGCACTGGTCTCTCACATGGCTGACCATGGTTGGAGTCCCCGACCTAGCAACCTGAAACAGGCTGGGCGCGTGTGCACGTGTGCCTAAAATCCTGAAGGGATTGCGGTGTGGCCATCCCCCCAGGAGGTGATATCTCTTTGTCTCTCTAATGGGGACGACACACTCTATAGAAAAAACCTCTCCAAAAAAAAAAAAAAGAGAGAGAGAGAGAGAAAGAAAAAGAAAAGAAATGGAATTAGAAGCTTATGTTATATGCCCTAGTAAGATAGCTGCAGTTAAGGCATGCTTACTAATAATTGAGTTAACTGATAGGGAAGCTATATAGTGTTGCCCCATGTGGTTGGTCAGTCACTCTAATTAATCCTTCAGTTGACCTCCTAACATTTTTAACTATTGGTCCTCCCCGTATGTTGTTATAAAACCATATCTAAAATGAGCAAACCCCAAGGCTAACTACAGCTAAGGCCATGTCACTAACAGTGAGTAAAATGATGAAGTAATCCTTCTTATGCTGGAGCTTCACCTTAGTGTCTTTCTGGGTGGATGTAGAGTCCCGTTATGCTTGGTTCCATCACATGTAATCAAAGTTAAAGGAAGCAACTCTTTGCTATTTCTAAGAATTAGATATGCTTGGGAATTTTCCTCTCTGAAATATAAGAATGCCAGATTCAATTAAATTTGTATGAAGTTTTATTAAAGAGAAGTAATTCATAGCATTTTCTTACTGCACAAAGCCCTTGTTGGGCCAGGGATTGCCTGTTCTGGGTTCAAGTCCTGTCTCTGCCATCGGCTTGCTCAGAAGACTTGGATTGATCATTCCCTCTCGGTAGCTTTTATGGACACTGGGAGGGTGTGGTAAAATAAAATACATAGCCTGCAATTTTGAGGCCTGTGTCCAGTGCAGGTCCAGGTCTGCTCTAACACATCTGTGTTCCCCCATTCTGCAGTAGGGACTACAGCACACCCAGGAGGCCTAGGACTTCTTCCAAGGAAGCCTAATGTGCTGCTTTGGACTTTGCTGATGACACAGAGGATATCATATGGAAAAAGCCAATCAGACCTCCCCTGTGATGGGGTTCATTCTCCTGGGGCTCTCTGACCACCCAAAGCTGGAGAAAATCTTCTTTGTGTTCATCTTGCTAATGTACCTGGTGATCCTGCTGGGCAACGGGGTCCTCATCCTGGTGACCATCCTTGACTCCCACCTGCACACACCCATGTACTTCTTCCTGGGGAACCTCTCCTTCCTGGACATCTGCTACACAACCTCCTCAGCCCCACTTATTCTTGACAGCTTCCTTCACCCTGGAGAAACCATCTCTTTCTCAGCTTGCTTTGGGCAAATGTCTGTCTCATTTGCAATGGGAACCACAGAATGTGTGCTCCTGAGCATGATGGCGTTTGATCGCTACGTGGCCATCTGTAATCCTCTTAGGTATCCCATGATCATGAACAAGGCTGCCTATTGGCCCATGGCTGCCAGCTCCTGGGCAGCTGGTCTAATCAACACTGTGGTGCAGACATCTCTGGCAGTGCGATTGCCCTTCTGTGGGGACAATGTCATCAACCACTTTGCCTGTGAGATCCTGGCTATCCTGAAGTTGGCCTGTGCTGACATCTCTATCAATGTGCTCACCATCAGGATAGCAACTATGAGCTTTCTGGGCATCCCAGTTCTGTTCGTCACTTTCTCTTACGTCTTCATCATCGCCACCATCCTGAGGATCCCCTCAGCTGAGGGGAAGAAAAAGGCCTTCTCCACCTGCTCTGCCCACCTCACAGTCGTGGTCATCTTCTATGGGACTATTGTCTTCATGTATGCCAAACCCAAGTCCAAGGACCCCCTGGGGGCAGACAAGCAGGACCTTTCAGACAAGCTCATCTCCCTCTTCTATGGGGTAGTGACCCCCATGCTGAACCCCATCATCTACAGCCTGAGGAACAAGGATGTGAAAGCTGCTATCAGAAGTCTGGTGACTCAGAAACACTTCAGCCAGTAACAGTGGAGGGGTCTTCTGTGGCCCATGTGAGAGAAAGGACTCCTAGTCACATCCGCTGACACTCAGAAGCCGAGTCCAGTTAATTGGGAAGGTCTCTCACCCTCAGGCCATTTGCGGGGAAGTTTAACTTTTTAGATTTTAGCTCTTGATTTTGGTCACGTGTTTCATAGCTTCAACTGAAGCCAGACTTCAAGTAACTACTTGAATAGAGCGCAATGGAGACATTCTGAACACATGCTGAAACCATGTAAGGCAGCAGCCATTAAAGCAAGCCAAATGGCCTGTATTGTGACGAGGCTGTGGGGTCGGTACCAGGAAGCAAGATGATTCTCACGACAGCGTTGCCACCCCCCTTGCATTCATCAGAACTGTCAGAGGAATAAGGAGAAAGTAGGAAAGTTCATTGGGACATTGTTTATTAGACGCAGTTTGTCTACAGCGCTAAGGAGAGACAGATAAGATCTCTGCCTAGAGAGATTTTGGAGGAGAGTAATTATTTTGATAACTGAATATCTTTTTAAATATGAAAAATTAAGGCTTTTTTTCTTGATTCACTGTAGGTTATAAAATACTAGTAATAAATTAAATTCAAGGAGTACAGAGTTTGAATTTGACACTCGTCACTGACAGCATTTCCCAGTAGAAATGCTAGTATTCTGATAAATGGTAACTCATGTTTGGGGGTGGGGGGAGAAGTAGATAGTTAGTGGCCAAATATGTTCAAAGATTTTGGGGCTTCATTTTAGATAAAGTTTCCTTCTTTCTTTCTTTCTTTCTTTCTTTCTTTCTTTCTTTCTTTCTTTCTTTCTTTCTTCCATGAGCAAGAGAGACAAGGACAGAGAGAGAGAGAGAGAGACCCCCAACAGTGTCTTCATTCTGTGATCCACTCCCAGCTTAAGCCAGCCCAAGCTCATAAACAGACACATGCCTGGCATATTCAGGGAAGTGTCTGGATAAGATGCTGGAAGTTTCCCATGTGGGCCAGCCTTGACCACCATTGTGTTACTGCTGGGCCACTATCTAGTCACCAGTTTTTGGACTACATTTTGACAAGTACTTTGCTCTAGGAATTGTCAGAACCTTTATGAGGCTAAGGTCCACTGTGAACATCCAAAAGGGCCTACATTCCGCAGCATTTCCTGAGAGTCCATAGTTGGCACAATAGAAATTACAAAGCATTTTCTTATCTATGACCTCAGACAGGTTGTTTAATCTCTCCCAGCCTATTTCTTCATGTATTAAAACCTAGCTATGGGACCAACGGTTAGCGTAATGGCTATGTCGCTGGACTCCCACGTAGTTGATCACGGTTCGAGCCCCAGACCCGGCAGCTTAAACTCATGCCAGGCACATGTGCATGCGTGCCCAAGATCCCGAGAGGAAAATGGAGGAGAAGGGAAGGGATTGTGGCGTGGCCATCCTCCCTGGGGGGTGACTTCTCACTTTCTGTCTCTCTGACTCTCTCTGTTTTTCTGACAAGTGCATGGCGATAAAGAAAAAAAAAAAAAAAAAAAAAAAACCTATCCAAAAAAAAACTAGCTACTTGCTCTTATGTGGATAGATATTAGAAATGTTTTGTAAGTCATAAGCACAATAAAGATGCAAGATATTATTGATAGTATTGTTATGAAAGCCTCACAGTGATAGGTGCCATATAAAAAGGAACAAACAGCTTCTGCCTCTACCCAAAATTACAGAAGACGAAAGAGAGGTTTTAATGGCTGTCGATGGAGAGAAGTAGTTTTATGGCAACTTATATTAAATTTTGAAAATATCAGAAGACTTATTTTAAAAGAATGTAGGAAATAAATTCAATTTGAGAAATACTTTTTTTTTAAAGTTTTTTAAAAGTTTGGGTGTTGTTTTGTTTTGTTTTTCTGCTATAGGGTGTGTGCTTTTACCGGAGATACAGAGAGAAATGAAGAGAGAAAAAGTGAGAATTCACCCCCTCCCCCCCGCCAGGGAAAATGGCCATGTTGCAATCCCATCTCCTTCATTCTTTCAGAATTGTAGGCGCACACACATGTGTGCCCAGTGCGAATTTCAAGCTGCCAGGTCTAGGACTTGAACAAAGGTCAGTTATGTGGGAGTCCAGAGCCTTAACCACTATGCCATCTACTTGCATTGAATTTTTGTGTGTGTGTTTGTGCTCACCAGAGAGGGAGAGAGAGAAAGCAATCCCCAGAGGAACGTGGCCACACTGCAATCCCTTCTCTTCCATTTCCCTATCAGGTTGGGGTTTGAGGCACATACATACACATACCCAACCTGTTTTTCAAGCTACTGGGGCCAGGATTTGAACCATCTTTGGCTATGTGGGATCTGGTTCCCTTAAGTCCTAGGCTATGAGGACTGCCACAGTCATGTAAAATGTTGTTCCAAGTGATATTTAAGTTTCATTATATTTATTAAGAATGAATTGAATAAGATAAGGGTGCATATTTTGTTAATAAAATTTCACTTTCTTGTGTTAAGCTTTCTGAATCCTATTTGCACTGAAGAGAACTAATCTGGCCACTGCGAATACACAAGAGTGACACCTAGGGGCCACTGGCGCCAACTTCTGGCATTTACAGAGCCGCGCAGTGTTAGAAGAGTTTTCAGAGGTCTCCTGGTTCAACCCCATCTACATCTACATGGAGTTCTCCAGTATCCCTGACCCAGTCATCCAGCATCTGCCTGGACGCCTGCAGTGACAGACATTCAATAGACATTCTTATTCTAACCATTTCATTCCACCCTACTAGCAAATTCGACCTTGAATTGTGCTGACATCAACTCTCCAGTAGCTTCCATCTTCCAGTCCTACTTGGATTTTGTGCCTCTACATGAAACACACCTAATCTCTTTCCTTTTGATAAATAACTCTCCTAGTTCCCTGAATCTTCCCCTCTCCAGCTTAAACAGCCCCACTTACAGCCACCTGTGGCAAAATCACAACTTCCTAAACTGTCAGTTACTGAACTGTGTCTACAGCACACGGTTTTATTCAGCAATGGAAAGAAGGTGATTTCTGAAAACAACCTAGGACTAATAATTTGGTGATGCTAAGACAACTCCAAGGCAGTTGAGTTCTATTGGTATAGTGAGACACTTTTGAACATGCCAACCTTCTTGGGAGGCTGTCCTCTGCTTCTTTTCTTTCCTTTGAGTAATGGCAGCCATATCCTTTGATATTGGATCTCACAAATTACAATATTGCATAATTTTTAAGTCAGAAGTTACATCGTGGTTTCTTCTACAAGCAATGGCCCCCTCCTTAGCCACTCCCAGCCACCCTCTCAGAGGCATGGAAAGGCAGAGCTACACCCACATCACAATTATACATACACATGTATTATTTTAATATCTTAGTTCTATGTCAGTGGTTTTTCAGGCTCTTATTTTAGTGACCAAATCTCAAATGAACTAAACTAAACTCCTAATATAAAATCTATCAGCTTTGGTTGAGGCAAAGTGAGAGGAGGACATCAGAATGGAGGTGGGAGGTAGAGAGGGGCTTTGGGCTCTACCTTCTCAGTTTGTCCTTCATCTCCATCCCTCCAAGGTCCCCCACCCACAAGCACCAACAACCTTATACAAATCACCATTTAACAAAATTAGAAACTGTATAGGAATATATTTGTTTCATGCCAAGAAATAAAGTTGAAAATCTTGTATATTCTAATGAAAAGAAAATATTCCAATTAACCAGTGAGGAGCTATATACAAAACCTAAAGTCATCAATTGCCTAAGAAGAAATTGAGTCATCATCAGAGTTATCATCTTAAGACATTCCACACTCTGATTATTTCACAGTTGAATGTTATAAAATGCCCATAGAATAAAAGTGTTTAATATTGTTTAAATGATTCTAGAATATAGTGAGGATATCTTTCCAATTGCCTTAACCAAGCCAGCATAACATTGATACTAAACAAGAAACACATGACAAAGAAAATAAAGGAAAAATCTAGAGATCCATCTCATTGACATGTGTGTATGGGCATATGTATGTGTATGTACACACATGTATCATAGAAGTCAACAACACATTAAAATAGTAATAAATCATATCTGAGTGGATTTATTGTTTTAAATATAAGTACAGAATGATGTGTAATTCGTATAATTCACTATATTCAGAGGTCAAGGGAGAAAAAATGACCATCTCAATAGGTCTCTAAAGTTATTTGAAAAAGGTAAAAATAAATCTCTAAGTCTTAAATCATTTCTAGTAAAATAGGAATTGTATTTTTAATAAAATTAAATTCATGTCTCTAAAAGGAAGCATATATACGTCTAAGGGTGAATAAGTAGATCAAATTCATTAAAATGCATATTCTAGAAAAACCAACCATTGTATTATAGAACAGAAAGAAATACAAGATGTAAATAGAATAAAATAAGAAATAATTTTATTAGCATTAATAACAGATATACTAGCACATAGTCAAAGCAGAAAAATCAATCAGAAAGCTATTTAAAAAAATTAATTGGCAAAAAAATCCATTTTTTCAAATAATAAGCAGAAGACAATATAACAGGTTTAAAATATCATATACTAGCAATGAAATGAGGAAGGGGGACTAAGAATAAAGGTAGATACCCAGAATGCTTAAATGAATAAGACCATAGTTCTCTACTGAGAAAACCCAAAGGAATATCTTATTAAATTGAAAAACACAACTTGAATAAGAAATCTCAACAATGTAAACTTCTCAAGTCCTCAAAATGAATATATAAATTCTATGTAATTCCAATCACTGCCAAGCTAATTCACATAGGAATATAACTATATATAATATGATTCATAAAGAAAATATGTCAAAACAACCAGAAATCTTGGGGAAAACAGCAACAAGGGATATCAGTCCTACAAGATGTCAAAATATATTAAAAATATACTAACAAAAAGTTTGGGCCCCAACCATAAAGGCAAAGCAGTACTACAATGCTCCGCAATGCTGGAGACCATATGGGAGATGGGAGTTTGGTTACCAGGTTGATCCAAACAAGC